CCCCCCCCCCCCCCCCCCCCAACCCCCCCATGAACGCGTGTGAAAGCATGCATGTGAACGTATGTGAAGTTAAAAAAGGCCTGAAACGCACGGCCCCTTACAGGCGCCGATACCAAAAACATGCACAATACCACAGAAAAACGCTCCTTGCCAATTCAACGCTCTCCCCAGTGGCCCCGCGGACGCACAAAAAGTGCTGTAAATACCACACGGATTTCGCAAACAAGTGCTCAAAATGCCCCGTCTACGCCCGCCCAGCCCACTACATGAACTGATGCCAAAGTCTCGGCAAAGCGCCAATTCCACTGATAGTGCCTCAGAACTAGCACAAAACCTCTGAACACATCACATCTCGAAAAGAGAATTGTACGGTACTCTCTTGTCGCAAGCGAGATCTAACAAAGCTTCGCGCAGCTTGAAATCTTGGGTCCAAGATGCAATGAGCCACGCTTCTCTTTCTCCCTGACCCTCTGATGAAATTGAATCTGCAAGTCCTGACACAAGTGACTGCGGCAACTCACTGATTCAGGAATGCCAGTTTGGTATTTTGCTTGTGCTCAAGCTGCTTCTAACTTGCGTTGCAGCTATGGTGGTAAGGAAGAATGGGTGTCATGCTTCAGTTTGGAGATCAGTGACATCAAAGCTTGACCCACAGCCATGGGATCCTGCATAATGGCCAGATTCTCAGGCGCTACAGCATAGCCTGAGGCAGTGGCAACTGTGAGTTGCTGGGCCCTGAAATCTGGGAATCCAAGGTATGTACCAGCAAGGAAATTCAGTAGTAGACTTCGACATGTATTCTTCAAAACATGTATATACTCCCAAGTTAGCTCATTTGAGCGGCTTCGAAACCCCCACATTAATCAATTGCTTGTGTGCGCAGGCTGTTGTGGATGCACTTGTCAGTGCTTATCAACGCTTGCAACACTCTTGCGACCATGAAGTGTTTGATGCGTTTCTTGCATGGCTGTTGAACTGTTGCGAACAGCGTTAGGAACTACCAGCAGAAGCAAGTCGCACACTTCGGTGGGTTGCTGCTGCGGAAGTAGCAGAAAAGAATCGACAGTTCTCTGTCCAGCTTGCCGCATTACATCGTAAAATATACAATGATACAGAATTATACAATCATATACAATATATACGCATAATTGTTGTAAATTGCCACAAGACACATTAGATACAGCTTGCTGCAACCAGGAGTAAACTAGAATGGTCAGCCCAGTGGCTCGCAACGACGAACAGCGGATCTGACTCCTCAGCGATGTGTTTGCCCGACAGGCCATACAGGCTCATAGGAAATGAGTGAGTTGATAGTTGATTTGTAGGACCAGAAATGTCTGCTACAATTGCTCACTGGCACCGTGCACTTTCGAGCTGTTTTTCCAGCAAGGTGTTGGGAGGCTGCCAGCCCAGATATGAAGCACTTTTCTGAGCAGTAAATATGGAGCTGTGATGAGAAATATCAGTGTGCTGCAACTTGCTAGTTGCGACACATTACAACATTTTACAATCATGTCGTTTGCCATTTCTTATGTTTAAAAAAAAAAAAATATATCGTCCCCCCCCCAAAAAAAAAAAAAACAACACGTTAAAAAAGGGGAGGTGGGGGGTACCAACAAATCTGAATCTGCAATGTGCATGTGGCATCTGATCAACATGCTAAATGAGGCTCAAAAAACAAACAATTATCCCCCCAAAAAAGCCCCTAAACATGCTAAAACTTTTGATTTTTGTTGAGCCTGCCAGTGTTTTGTGACTATGGGCTTTTGACATTGTTGTTTTTTTTGAGCCTGCCAAGGGGTTTGAAATCTCTGCTCCATCTGGCCTAGCAAATTCTTCGGCATGTTGACAAGATACAATAATCTACCATTGCTACGTTCATGGTTTCAGCTCATGCACTGCAGTGTTGTACCATCTGAAATCAAGGACAACTCTCACATACAAGCAAGAAATTTGTCTGAAAACGTTGTTTTTTTTGGGGGGCTATATATACATACATGTTACATGCGAAAACAGGCTTCGCTGAAGCTTTACAACGAGTAAACAAATGATTAGCCACTTGTTCGTTTGCCTTGGATGGTAGTGACATGTAGTAGCCGTCCCGCATCTTCGGCGCAGGAATGCCAAGGACGAACATCAACCTGGAAAGGTCATACCATACGGGACACGGACAACTGCTGTTATCTTTCATTCTAATTTGCTAGCAAATGCTAGCAATCTCTTTAACACCCTGACCATCCAGAATCATGGAATTGAGACTTGCTCGTTCAAGTACGAAGCATCACCCAAAAACTATAGCGTAGTAGGCACTTGTAGGCACCGCGTCTCAGTGCTGTCATCGGCACACCAATCCCAATCACTGCAACCCATGAGTCTTCGGTGAGCCGCCACCTTGGAGCCGACTTCAACATCTTCGCTTCACACATTGACTTCAAAACCAACAAGTCTCCGACATAGCTCCTGCCAAGTCCAACTTGCCCAGTCCGACAAGATGGCATCGTCCAATTAATTAGGGTGAGTCAAGGGTCTTGTCATTTAATGGGAGGAGATTGCTCTGTTCAGCGTCTTCTTTCTCTGTGGGTGGGTCCTTCTCATTCGTACACCAACGAACTGGTCATTGACTGGGGCACGTCGGAGCTTGCCAGCCACGTTCCATGGGCTCGAAGTACAGCGGTGCGCCCGCGGGGACGGGGTGCCGGCAGTCGCTCCAGTCGCCCACCGCTAAAAGGTGTGGGCCAAAGAGCTCATCCCTCCTCAGAGAAGGAGGGAGGCCATCGCCATTAAAAAGAACAAGATGAACAAAGAAAAGGAAGAAAGCTCATGAGAATCTACACTACAGTCGTACAGTTGCAACAAGCATCAACTTGAGGCCAGTGGGGTTGACCACGAAAGCTAGAGCAAATCGGGTGCAAAAGTCCGTCACTTTGTTGTCCTGCTTCAAAGAAACAAGGATGCTTAAATATGACGGCCAGCTTATACCCTTATCAATATCGATGCCCTGCTCCAGCGGGGGAGAGGCTGGGGGTTCTAGTGAAAAATCACAGTGTTGGCCTTCTGGCTTGCTAAAGCAAGAACAAGCTTTAGCGACCTTCATGGCTATCGCTAACTTTTGTGACCTGCATGGCGCACGCTCATTGCTCAAAGGTGTACAAAGATGTAAAGAGTGTGGCAGCGTAAGCACAACATATAAATATAGTCACTTCAGATTGTGCAGGTTCTTTGTCGTATTATTGGCTGAAAGCAGGAAGCAGGTCACCGGATATGGTAACATTGAAGCCTTGCTCTTCTTTGGCCTGCATGTTCTCTGCCCTTCAAGAAGGGTTGGACAACTGCAAACACCTTTACAAAGCTTTCTGGGAAACCTAGAAAGTTGCTACAGGTGTGTTTTATACGGCCCCTTGACATGGCCTGATTTTGACTAGCAACCACCATGCCCGAGCAGGAAAATTACTGTATCCCATTCAACCAAATTCAGGTCCAGGTGATCCTAGTGGCATGTACCAATCGGAAAGGCACCGGCTGTCGCCAAACGGGGGAGACGTTCCCTACTGATTCCCTACCACGTCCATGATCTCTTGCTGCCAGGAGGCACCAGTGGGCGAGATGGCCCATCCTTCACCGAGTACCTGGGTCCAAGCTATAAGTGTCCGTCGCATGGATGTCCCACAGAATACATGCACCAGGAGTCTGGCCCGGCTCAAACCGGGCTAGGATTCTGCGGTTCTAACCTTGAAGTGTTGGTAGATGATGGTAAATGATACATGTCTGCTTAAATGCTAAAACAATGCTTCAAAACAGCAAGACCGGGCTCCCTAAATTCAACAACAATGCCTCCTCCCCTGTAGGATGCATGAAGCAAAGCCTTGTGCATCCATTCCAGAACCGTTCCATCTTCCAATCTCTTGGAGCCAAGGGGCTTCGCCGGGTCAAGGTGTAGCTCTACCAGCGTCATCAAGCCAAACCTGAGCGGCTCGATCGAACTGATCGAACATGCTCCACTGGTCAACATGTTGTGAATATTGAAATCGATTGTGTTTCACAACACGTTGCTGCTATGCTGCTATACACAACATACCTTCAGAAAGCACGCGACCGATGCCAAAATATGCATTGGTTGATGTAGCTACTGTCATACAAAAAGTGTAATACATATATTATGCAGTGCATGCTGCACACAGGGACGTGTACACATATTTAGGTGCAACATGGTGCAACATGTTATCTAATATTCTAATATAATCTAATACAATACATGTGGGATCATGTGCACTGTGGGTGTATATGTGTCTCTGCATCTGCGATGATGATTTCCGCTGTCGAACAGAGAGTGGACCGCTTTAACGGTCAAACGTTTGGCGTTAACTTTAATCCGTGGATTGCCCATGGCAGGGGTGCAACCATTTCGAGCACCTCATCGCTGCCTTTCATGGTGAGATGATACATGAAGAATCATCAAGATATGAATGAAGGACAGCACGTTGAATTAATCAATTGCGGCATTGCAAAATGGCCTTCGCTCTCTAAGCCAAAAGCTTACAATTACAGTATGTGAATCGTTGAATCCGTGCGGCCCTTCGCAGAGCAAGACCAGCGTGTCCTGTGCTGCCCGGGACTTGAAGACGGTCTGATCCTGCACACAACTCAGCTCTTGGCTTTGGCATGATGTCTTCTATACTTGACCAGCTGCAATATGACGTTATAGCTGACGTGATGAGTATGATACGACGTGCCCTTGTCTGCCGCCGGCCTATGCCTCCAAACCAACACACATACACACACACACCACACCTCACCTCTACACGCCTCTCCCTAGAAAAGCCCTACAGGCGGCCAACAAAATCGTCTCCTCGCTTCTGAGATCTTGGGCCTCTCAAAGGCGTGCAAGGGCTTGGAGTTCCCAATTTCTGGAAGTCTTTGGGACTTTTCGGGATCATGACCAGGTATTCACTTCCTATCTCTGTGTCTTCAGGCAGAAGGGTGGCTTATTCCAGGTGCAATCTGTTAAAGAGCACTATGTCCATAAGGACCTGCGGTATTGGCCGACACTCAGTGTGAACTGGTGCTGAAACACGCAAAGTTTCCTGCTTTGGACCCATTGGCTCCAAGCATCTCCAAGCATTTCCTGCTTTTCCCCTGAAAAGCTGATTTGCTCCTAGTAGCGATGCCAGGAGCCCCTATAGGCCCTAGTAGCGTCCTTGCTCCTATATCGCAGCTATGTAGCTGTCAATGAGTTCATGATTTCCCTATGCCGCCGTCTGTGCACGTTGCTTGACCACGCCGGCGTCCGTGCCTGGAAGATTTTTCTTCGAATTACTGCCGGTTTTGCAAGGTCGGGCCAGCACATCGCAGAAGATCCCTCGATTCCCAACGATTTTGCTGGGCCAGACAGGGCACAAATTAAAACCCCTGAGCCTGAGCCAGAGCAATCCGCGAGTATCATCCTCGAAAAGAGGAATTATCTCAAACCCTTCGCCTGATGAGGTAGTCTTGACATCTGCATCCATATTCATGCTTCAAACACTTTAGCTTCTAGCCGCAATCCACTTGTATAATATCTCCCTTCTTTCCCTTTCTCCTTCCTTCCGTCCTTGACCTGCTTTCTTTCTTCCTGCCTTTTGTCCTTTCTTCCTTTCTTCCTTGATTCCCTCCTTGTCTTCTTTCTTTCTGCCTCTCTCTCTCTCTCTATCTCTCTCCCAGCATTCTTGCTCATTCTTGCAGCAAGACTGTTTGCAGTCCAGTTTGCGGGTAACCTCTCCCAACACCTCTCACATCGGATTCAGAAACTCTGCCAGTTCGCAGGCGAAACTTCCCAATCCCTCCTGGCGCATGGCATGGAGCTCATCTATCGGGGCATGCACCGAAGCTGAACAACGGTCCAAGCTGCCAGCCGAAATGAGCAGCTGTGGAAGGCTATTCATGGACCACAGATTGATGACCAACTGCCGAACCTACAAGGAACTCAACTACCAGCCATCAGCTCTCCATGGTTCTAGACTCTGAGCTTCGAGCTTCGATTTCTGGAAGCAGCAGAAAGTGCCCAGGTCCAGCCTGTCACAGACCCGCAGAGTTCCGCACCAGATTCTGGACTTGTCATAAATGACCTGGAGAGCCCTTTTAGCGCTGAAAGTTAGCAAAGCTCTTGTCCATCCCTGTCTTGGCTCTGACACAGTAATGCTGATGCTGATCGGACATTAATGTTCCGGGATGTCTTTGTCACAATAGCCCACGCAAGTGGCCACTAAGTCGCCCGTGAACATGAGGTTGGGCCGGTGTCTTTCCTGAATCTCTGGTCCTGCGTTTGGGAGACAATCTTAATGATTCCACCGCTGTGAAAAATGAAGAATTGCTTCTGTCACAACTGAAAGATGTCCAGTGACAAAGTTGTTCCGATCTAAGGCCAAATCTGATGCATCCGGCTATACCCGTGCATCGTGGTTGCGCCATCCGCTTTCGCCCCAGAGTAGCTTGAGGGACAAGCAATCAATCGCGGCGACACCTGAACCATTCGGTCGAATACCAGCTGCAAGCTGCTTGTCATTGGCACCTGCAAGGGATCATCACCACCCCCTAGCCTCACTAGCCATTTCTCGGCTCAACCAGGCAGCCGAAGCAAGAGGAGGAAATTCTGAGGAATCGGTCTGGCACTATGACACAAACCATGAACCTGATTTCCGGACGTATAATGTGGAAATTGCCAGTTGCACCGTTGCTCGGATTGGGGGGGGGGTGCGGATTAGATAGAATTGGCACCGCAGTTGTTTTGAACAGCCCAGAGCCCAGGCAGTTGTTGGGAGAAGATGCAACTTTGAACATGAGGGACCCCTTCCAGAGCCCAGGCAGTTGTTGGGAGAAAATGCAACTTTGAACATGAGGGACCCCTTTGCTCTCATTACACGTTTATACAGTTTATACATGTTTATACTTGGTTTCATTCTTCTCCGATTCAAAATTCCTTGTTGTTGGGGTCCTCGATTTCGAGATGATTACATATGACATCATATGATTACCTTTGTTAAAGTCACCTCAAGAACGATTGTCTCATCTACTTCGGGATGTTTCCAGAACTGCAATCAGATTGCAAGGCAGAATCATGGGTTTCCTCCCCTCAGACAAAAGACCACAACTGTAGCCATAGCAATCTCCTCAAAAATAAGACTTAAACTTAGACCCAACGCCTCCATACGCCTCAATTGTTCTCCCACCCCAAGGGCCTCCTGTACTTGCCAGTCGATCAACCATATCAACAACATCAATCCCCTCCGGTCCTCTCCCCCCGTCCATTCAGGGCTCTCACCATGGTTTGCCCGTCCATGGGAAGTGAGGCCAGGACGGTCAAGTCCATGGTGCTCTCAGCCTAGCAAAACACTGGGAGGTTGGAGGCCATCGCTATTAGGTTGGAAGCCATGGCAATTACGTTGGAGGCCATTGCTATTAAGGTTGTTGGAGGCAGTCGCTATTATTGGGTTGGAGGCCATTGCTATTAGATTGGAGGCCATCACAATTAGGTTGAAGGCCATACCTATTAGGTTGGAGGCCATCGCTATTAGGTTGGAGGCCATCGCTATTAGGTTGGAGGCCATCGCTATTTGGTTCGAGGGCATGGCTATTAGGTTGGAGGCCGTCGCTATTAGGTTGGAGGCCAACACTATTAGGTTGGAGACCATTGCTATTAGGTTGGAGGCCATGGCTATTAGGTTGGAGGCCATCGCCTTTAGGTTGGAGGCCTTCGCTAGTAGGTTTGAGGCCATTGCCATTGGTTGGAGACCATCGTTATTAGGTTGGAGGCCATCGCTATTGGGTTGGAGGCCATCGCCTTTAGGTTGGAGGGTTTCGCCCGCTAGTAGGTTGGAGGCCATCGCTATTAGGTTGGAGACCATCACTATTTAGTTGGAGGCCATCGCTATGAGGTTGGAGGCCATCGCCTTTAGGTTGGAGGCGATCGCTATTAGGTTGGAGACCGTCGCAATTAGGTTGGAGGCAATCTCAATTCGGTTGGAGGCCGTCGCTAGTGGGTTTGTGGCCATCACTATCAGGTTGGAGGCCATCGCTAGTACGTTGGAGGCCATCGCTATTAGGTTGGAAGCCGTCGCTATTTGGTTGGAGGCCATCGCTATTAGGTTCGAGGCCTTTGCTATTTAGGTAGGAGGCCAACGCTACTATATAGTTTGGACGCTATGGCTCCTAGGATACTCCAGCCATCGCTATTAGGTTGGAGACCAACGCTATCAGGTTGGAGGCAGTCCCTATTAGGTGGGAGGCCATCGCTATTAGGTTGGAGGCCATCGCAATTAGGTTGGAGGCAATCTCAATTCGGTTGGAGGCCGTCGCTATTGGGTTTGAGGCCATCGCTATCAGGTTGGAGGCCATCGCTAGTAGGTTGGAAGCCGTCGCTATTTGGTTGGAGGCCATCACTATTAAATTAGGTTCGAGGCCTTTGCTATTAGGTAGGAGGCCAACGCTACTAGTTTGGACTCTATGGCTCCTAGGATACTCCAGCCATCGCCATTAGGTTGGAGACCAGCGCTATCAGGTTGGAGGCAGTCCCTATTAGGTGGGAGGCCATCGCTATTAGGTTGGAGGCCATCGCTATTAGGTTGGAGGCATCGCTATTAGGTTGGAGGCCACCGCTATTACCTTGGAGGCTGTACTTTTTGGTTGGAGGCCATCGCTATGAGGTTGGAGGCCATCGCTATTACGTTGGAAGCCACCGGCATTAGGTTGGAGGCCATCGCTATATATGTTGGAGGTCATCCCTGTTGGGTTGGGGCCATCGCTATTAGGTTGGAGGCCATCGCCTTTAGGTTGGAGGCCTTCGCTAGTAGGGTGGAGGCCATCGCTCTTAGGTGGAGGCCTTTGCTAGTAGGTTGGAGACCATCGCAATTAGGTTGGAGGGCATCGTTATTAGGTTGGAGGCCATCGCTATCAGGTTGGAGGCCATTGCTATTAGGTTGGAGGACATCGCTATTACGTTGGAGGCCATGGCTATTAAGTTGGAGGCAAGTACTCTGTCGAACCAGGAAGCCCAGCCAATGCGAGTTTATCTTTGCCCCTTGAACCTTCGAAGCTCTCGCCAAAACATGGCCTTTGAGTCAATAACAGTCCTACAAGGAAGGAATTGGCTGTCATCCTGATCAAGAGGTGGGTTCTGTGCCTGCTTCAAGATGATTCCCTGATTTGCCCCTGGCACTGCACCACCCCTTCTCCACCTGCCTGTGCTCTTGCCACCTGGAAGACTAGAGAATCTCCGGCGCCCATTGCAGGATTCCCAGCAAGGTCTTGGAAACGCTCCACTTCCACCACCAGCCTGGTGCCACAAGTCTCAGAGTGACTCATTATATATATATATACATATATTGCTGTTATTATTGCTTCAATAAGACACGAGTTTACAGCTGCTGTAAATCGAGTCCAATCGACATGCAATAGACGTCGGTGTAAATTGCCCAGCCAAACACTTGTCGTGTGCTGAAAGTGTCTCGCTCGCAAGCATGGGTCCACAATACAATCAGCACTCTCGTCACTTTTCTTTCAATCTTTGCTGGGTCTGATACGTTGTGTTTCTACAAGACTGTTTCGAGTCTTGAAAGAAAATTGCTGTACATGCTGAAAAAGATCACCTGGATGCGCAATATCAACACAAACAATACCTTGGTTTGAAGGGGCAAGAGAGATGTGGGATGGGAAACACAAAAGCTCATGGTGCCTCAGTATGCCTTGCTGTAAACCTTAGTATGTCTTGCTGTAAGCCTTGCGCATTCAGGCCATCCCTGGTCTTCCCAGCCCTGAGTTCATTGAGCGGATATATAAGGCCGGAAAACCAAGGGCGAACCGGTGCCCATGTCATGTCTACGCGAACCATTTGTCCTTTGACGGCTGCGACTTCGTCTCGTCCTCAATGATCTCAACGACTTTGTTCGAGGCCCTCTGGTCCTGAGAGGTCACCATCCGCATGGGCAAATGGGGAATGAGACCCCTCTTTATCAACAGTTTCAAGGAAACGTTGTACACTTGATGCTTTGATGAGGTACTCATATATGTCATTGCGGGTAGGTCCATGAGGTTTGATCTAGAAAAAAGGCGGATAACGACATGGAAAAACTCTTGTGACTTCTTCTTTCACTGTCAAACAGGCCAGGAAGACACTAACAGGTTGATTAAAATTGCCAAGTCCTTGACTGTCAGATTCTTGGACTACAGCAAGGGGCCTTTTTGTCGGTTACTGAAGCCTTGTGTCTACCCCACAAGTCTTCTTTTTCTATCAACTCCTGCTCTCGGTCCCAATGCCTTGGAGGAAACCTCGATCCTTCGCGGAGGAGTTGACCGCAGCAGGAATCCAAAACCGTAGGACCGTGGCAGTGAACCGCCAGCGTCCTCCTGTTCAACCTCCACACCCAGTCCGAGGATCAAAAATGGCCGCAATGCTCACATCGGCCACCAGGTCTCGGCTGATCTCTCCTTGGCGAAGCGGAGGCTCATAGATTAGGGGTTGGAGGCTGGAGGTGGCCTGTGTCGGTCGATGTCTACATTGAAGCAATTGTATAATTAATATCCATGGGTCACCATGTCGCTAGCCTGTGAAGGAGAATGCGCCATGCCGAAGAAATAGAACTGTGGACAAAAACATCAAGGCTTGTGGGCAAGACAAGCCACCTGGTTTCACAAAGAAATCCACTACACTGAGTGCCAATCCGCTTGTCCTGTGTTCAACGGGCATACAAGACATCGTCATCCAATAGACAGACCACTTCTCAGAAAGGGGATGTCTTTGATGTCTTCCCCGTCTTCCAGTTTGTGGTGTCCAACCAAGCACCTCCAATCAGATGAGCCTCCGCTGTTCAAGGTATCTTCCTTGGACACCACCAAGCCGCCTGCTGGAGCGCTCGCTTTCAAGCCGCCGGGCCTCCCACACCGTCAAGAGGTCAAGGGCATAGAGATTTCAACAAGAACTCTTCTTCGCGTAAGATGTGCAAACAGTATAATAGTAGGAGGAGTAGAAGAAATATGTAAGAGCATCCTCCTCCAGGCTAGCTAGTAATTACAAAAGAGGACATCACTGTCACAACCTTCTCGTGCCGTGACGGGTTCCTGTTTTCGAGGCTTAGAAGTAGTAACATAGTAGGAAGGACAAGGCAAAACCGAAGGCCGCAACTGGCAAAGGCCAAGACCTGCGCTTGTGACGTGGAGTTCCTGCATAAAGATGATTTGTTTGGGGGGTGTTGAAAGGACAAAACCTGAGGCTGAGGCCTTCAAATAGCATTGTTCTATTCGCACGGGGTAGGAATTGATAGGAATTGACCTGGTACCTTCATGTACCTTCCAAGATCAATCAAGTATCATCAATATCAAGTTTACATATTCAATTCATGCTAAAGTAGCCAAATCAGCAATGCTCAAGCCCCGCTGTGACTTTAGGTAGGTGGCTAGGGGCCCTTGACAACAACCAATGTTGTCTTGTAGCCTCAAATAAGTAAGCCAAGTAGGATGCAAAGTGTATTGTATTGAAAGTACACATACAGTGGATTGAGAGTAGATGGCACAATCACCAAAAAGATCCAAAAGGTGGTTTATATGGATCCCCATCTGAAAGACATCTTGAGGTTTGTGCCATTTACTCTGAAACCACTGTAAGTTGTATAGAAGACTGGCGGACTGATTCACGAAACATATTAGCCACCAGCCCTTTGCCAATTACCATGTACATACCCATTCTCTCCCCGACATTCATGGGAAACTCTATACTGAACACCGGAACTTCTTGTGCCACTGCTGAAATTGGGAAACAGGTTGCCCGTGCCCCTTATGTCAAGATTGGTTGAATCTACGGGCGTTCCAAGCCTGAAAAGGCACGTTTTCTTCCAAAGAAAAGCAACTGCAAACGCAAAGCCTTCTGGAGGGGACACCCAAAACTATTGTGCTCTGCAGGGGAAATCAGCCTTTCTGTCTTTGTCCATCACACACTCTGTATGTTGGCTGGCTGCCAGTCTTTGTGTGACCTGTGTACATTATAACTATATGTATATTGCTTGTTACTTATTGTTTTTTAATACAATGCCTTGTGCGAAGGTGCTCTTTGTTCAAACCCTGTCCTGACAATTGTGTAGTCGATACCAGAGGCTCTAAGGTACTTCTCAGCTTCCAACTTCTCATCGAGGACATTCCCTCAGCTGATCGAATAACATCATGTGGGTGTATTTTCGAACACAGGTCTAAGTGTACTCTGAGAGGAAATGGTGAAGTAGAACAGTATAACCCACATGGACGCACAAGAATGGTGTTGCAGGTGGAACAGTGGGTTCTAAAATGAGGAGCCTGTCAGGCTGACAGCTTGCAACTTAATTGGGCATCGCGCAAGATGTTGGTGCTTCTTATCAACAACACAAGGTCGAGATGTTGACGCTTTCCTTGCCTGAAACCTATGTGCTCTCACTTGCGCCAAGACGCCAAAGGCATTGGTGACCTGAAAGCCCGGGCTGTTCTCTTGCCCCCAGCCACGACCATTGGTTAGAATGGATGACCTCACGAGTGGCTGTGGAGTGAGTCACCAAAGCACCAAAGACATTCCAAAGCTTCGGATACAGGACTCTTAGTCATGCTTTACTGCAGCCCGCAGCAGCTGATTGAATTAATGTTGGCATGCAGAAAAATATGTAGAACTCGTCAATTGTACGAAAATTTGGTTATTTGTGCGGGTCAACAGGCCTTCTTTGCCAATGTGTCCGATGCTCATATGACGCACATGTCCTTTCCACCATGATGCGTACATCCAAGTACTCCATGGGGTGGGAAAAGCATTGAACCAAGACGACATGGACCCAACCTCAGCCAACCTCCTGGCTATCAGAATATGCATGCCACGAGTTCAATTGAGATGCCATCTCCAAAACCAATACAATGCTTTGCTGTTCTGTGGGCTCGTCCAATTAGCTTGTGGATGCTTGTATTGGTTGATCAAAGTATATACAGCAAAAAGGCAGGTTCGGATAGTTCTGGAATTCGGTGGCGCTACAAGATGGTAAGAAGGTCAAAGGGAATGAAGCGACCAAGCTTTACCGACCGGCACAATACGGATATGGTCAAACATGGTCAAACCTTTTTGAGGTGTGTGACTGAGGAGCAATGCGTGAAAATGTAACTCTTCTCACCTCTGGTGAAGAAAACCTCTTTGGTGAGCGCTTCCAGCAAAACCTGATTACTCGAAGCCAACAAAGCACGAACAGTGAAAAGGGCCAACTGCAATTCTTTTAAGATCACTGCTTGCTTCTGCTGCAGCATCTCTGGGCTCCCCAATTCGCTCCAAGTGAGATTCTACCTATCTAATCCTATCTACCATCATCTACCCATATAATTAAACACATGTTTTTAAAACCATATGTATACCCTTCCTATCCCTTCCTTCTTCCAGGTGGCACAAGGACGATTTTCTTCACTCCGGACTTCTTCGCAGCGTCCACCAAGGCCTTGGTGCCCAGGTTGTCCACCGCATGGGCCTCTGCGTTCATCGCGAAGGGGTTCCCCGGCACGAAGCCCGTGGCGATGATCAGTGCGTCGACACCGGTCAATGAGCCGGCCAAGGCGTCCACAGAGTCTTTGGCCACATCCAATGACTTCAATTCCTCACCGTTGGCAGTGTTTGATCCTTTGGGTTTATGTAAAAACATCGACTTTGGTTGGATGGTCCGAATCAAACCCATGTTTTATAATGTTTTATAGTGAAGGGAATCAGTTGTCAAATTGTCATTCAAAAACATGTGTATATATATATATTGTATATATTGGATATATATATATATATATGTATATTTTTAGTGTGTATTGTATTTATATAAATATATATGAAGTACGGTCAAAATTTATTATGATATTATGTGTGGCTGTTGCATCCTCAGATTGGTGAGTGCGCTATCGTTTTTCAACGTTTTGGAACCTTGGTGACGGGTATCGTTTTTATGTTGTGTGTTTTAAAGAGTCGCCTATTGTTTCCCAGGGTTTGGAGTGTGCCAGCATATGAATGCGACGCTCTTGTGCAATCGTGATCCTCGCAAATTCTGAACTCACTTCATATCCGATTATATAAGACAAACCCAGACAAACCCCACCAGAGACAGCAAAAGCAAATGCATCACAGAGAGTTCTCTGCGTTGACTCGTCTTGTAGTCATGAGTCATCAGTGTGATCATAGCGTGCTAGGTTGGAGGCCATTGCTTCATATTGCTTCTAGGTTGGAGGTCATCGTTGTTCAGTAAGTTATGAGGTTGGAGGCCATGGCTATCTTTGAGTCTGTGAGTACTTGAGTTTTGTTGATCCACCTGGACCTGACAAGAACCACTAGCCGAGGGCCGAGGCTCTACCCCTTTGGTGTCCACCGCCTTCACCTCGTCAATCATTGCCCCTCGGATGGCGATGGAGGACTTGCTGAGCTCACTCTGGGCCTGCACAAACCAGCTTCACCAAACATCAAATGCAACTCAGAGAGATTGATTTTGGAGATTGGCAATTTCTAGAGTTTAGCTCTTGACGTCTCTTGACAATTTGAAGTGTCTGCAAGTCCACCCGAACTCGAGGCCACACGATCTGTTACCTTACCACTAACATCTTTTCCGCAAGCAAGTCTGTAAGAATCACTTCATGCGCTCGAAGCTGTACAAGGCTTTACGGACACCCTTCGTCCAAGCCTTGGAGACATCGCGGACACCGCCCACCACTGAGGTCTGCCCATCCTTGGCTAAGCGCTCCACAATCCGGCGCCCAGTCTGCCCAGTGGCCCCGGCCACCAGCACCTTCTGAGGTGCCTGGGCATTCGCTGGCGAGGCCAAAAGCAAGGCTCCAGTCCAAAGGCTACGGCGAGCCACTGGCACTGGAGGTGCCTTCTCCTCCGGGACGGAGGGGACGAAAGCGAGGGGTGCAAAGCAAAGACCAAGCAGGAGAAAGACGCCACCGCGGGTCCGCGCCATTTGGGCTGTCCCACCCTGCTCCCACCTTCTATCTTTGAGCCAACGCTGAATATGCAGTGCACGTGTATGTTTAACTTCTTTTACCACAATTGGCCAGCCTCCTTTTTGATCCATTCCCACGTTGCAACACCCGTGGTTGCAACACCCGTGAGCAATCAGCATGAGCATGGCACCCTACCGCCAACTCCACAAACCTGCTCTGGCATTGAAGCAACACAGCCACTAACCACTGACCGAGGTTGCATTTGGCTGGCACAGGCGCCTGTACCCGCGGCCGTACTCCAAGAATGGCAAGTGAGCACTTGGAAGAACTGCAGTGGCTCCCCTGTCGCGATAGTCATGTCAAATCAAAAACTGCTTAGAATCGGACCCGGAAGCAACAGCCACACCATAGAGTTGTAGCTGGTCAACCGGCAGTGTTTCTGGCTCTAAAAAGCTACCTGATGAGATACGTCTTGGATGCCTCTTACCTGTTGGATGCCTCATCTCAGCTGGGCAGCACGAAGCATCCCACGATTGAGCATGGGCTGCGGCTATCTACATGTCGTGGGTTCTGATACTTTGGTCTGTATTTGCGTGTACACAGTCTCCAGCGAGGCACTATGGTCATCAATTGATTGGGGAGCAGCTTTCTTGCTCTACTGGCACCGAATCCAACCGGACTTCACGTTCAACAGGCACAATGATATTATAGCAGCAAGAAACTCATAAGTTTAAGTTTGCAGTACGGCGCACTGTCCAACCGAGGCAAGTGGAGAGATCACAAGTTGTGCAACAACTCAGTTCTTGAGTCTTGTGATTACCCCTTTCAACTATCGCAAATCCCAAGAATTCCACCGACGATGGCATGACACGTGCTTTCTGACCTTCTACGTTTCGAGTTATACAGATCAAGAACATACACCAACGACGATCAACCCCAATCTGCTTGACCATTTTCTGAACTGTGGAGGAGACGAATTCCACTAAACCCTGCAGAACCCACCGTTCGAAACTGCAGGAACAAAATCCACACCTGATCTCGATGAGGTCAGCAGCAATGGTGATGCTCTGTGAGGCCGGAAGATAGTTGCAAGCCCAGTGGCAATTCCTTGAAAATGTGTTGGATTGAGGAACTAGAACGACAAACGAGTCGTGGATGCCTTTCCATGAGAGAGGCTTACTTTTAAGGGAGAGGATTTGATCAGCTTGGTCTCAATGACCTGGACAGGCCTGATTAATGCTATGTGTCACAAATAGACCAGAATATCCGTGTCACAAGGCCATGTGGCTACACAACTGCTGCAACCCTTGAGACACCACCTGAATAAATCCATCATCTAAACTTGCCAAACTGCCACCCTTCCCTAAGTGGTCAGTAGATGCAAACAATATTGAAAAAATAAGCAGTGGACGTGCCCATAGTCTGGATTGTCTGGAAGGTTTCACCGATGAAGATGTGGTGTTCCTCTGTGATCAGCACAAGCCGATCAATCAACGAAAAATAGTGAACACACAAAAGCTTGGCCTGCAGCCACACTCAAACCACAGCATGAAACAAACACCTGGTGGTCCATGGTGGACCCTGCACAAGGAGCAGGTGGCAGAACAGGTGGCATTATGTCCAGTCTTGACAACATTCTTGACAAAGGGAAAGGTAAATGACTATACAATAAAACCTGCAACAAAGACCCATATGTCGCTGCAGGTACCCTACAAAGAAGGGAAGACTAACTAACCCAACTTGTCTTCAAAGTTTTCTCAGATCGAGCACGCCGAATTCAGGGTCCAGCCGACATCCGTCAAGTACAATGTGAATTGCAAATTTATCAGGGTCGAAGTCCACGATCATCTGCCCTGGAGGTTTGGGATGCAACTGCGAGAGAAGGCGGAAGGAGGATTGCCTGGATCAACGCCCCCCTCCGAGGTTGCAGAAATGATTGTGCTTGATTCTTCCCGCAACAAAGCCAAGACTCTCTTTCTCACAGGCGCTTCCCGATTCCGCACACCGATTACCACCATCGCTTGGAAGAAGGTGCAGTATTGTTCCTGAGCAGGACAGCGAAACGACTACCAGAGTTTTCCCAATACATTTTTTTCAAAAGCGCATCCTCGACTGTACTCAGTCCCTCAAATCAAGAGCAAGGAGAATGGGGCTGAATGACCACGTGCTGCTTCATCTGCCGTGACCTCTACCGTGTTTTCTTGCAGGCTTTGCTCCCGAATTCAAACTATATAATAACTTCACGGATACATTGATCATATTCTCAAAAGTGGAATTCTGTCTCGCTTGAGCATCGAGTTCTAGCTTCAAGAAAGCCAATCACACCACACCCTGATGACATTTCTCCAGATGTCGAAGGTATGACATATCTCCAGACAATTATGATGACTCACCAAGTCTATAAATAATGTTTGCGTGAAGGAACATGGGCATTGTGATGAAGGCGTTTCAAGATGTTTGAACCTGTGGGTTTCACCCGGCCAAACATCGTCTTGGAGATGGCCCATGCGACTCATGGGAAAAGAACGTCGTGTAGTTACGGTCAGCTGTCGAGACGCCTTTCATGGTGCCAGGCCAAGGTTGTAAAACCTGCAGGTTAAGTCTTGAGACGACGTGGACATGAACTCTCAAGTGTGCTGTGCCACTGTTCCCAGCTGCAAAATACCGGACGTTCCATGTTACCCTGGAGGCCCTTTCGTTTCCAACCAGAAGCCCAGTTTCACCAAGGGCAGGGAGGCTGTACACCCTATACTGGATTCCTAGAAGTTAGGCATTCATAGAAAAGGCCAACAAATGAATGTCTATATATTATATATATATGTAACTATAGAACTATATAATACTATATAGATCTATATAGTAATATAGTATAGTATAACCTTGCTGTGAAATATTGTGAAGAATAAGTTATAGTAAATCAGCAAAACACGGGCCAATTGCTTCAAACAGTTGAAGAATGTACAGTAATTAGTGGGGAGGCTCTTCAACCTAAAGAGTGGCTCAAGTCAAAGCACAGAAGCAGCTTCTACCCGTAGCTCTTGAGCTCTTGGCATTTGAAACCCTTCAACGAAAGCTCTCGGCCAGTAACTCCCACCGCCGGCCTCCGAAAAATAGAGCTCCAAACCAGCTCCCGGACGATCTTGGTCAAATGAGGGCACTGGGCCACCGTGTCCTGGGTGGCAATCCTACGGTCATAGTAACCATGGGGTCTTACAAGCAGTGTATGCTGAAGGCTGCAATCATCTTCGGACTAATAAAGCATGGGCTCACCTCAATCGATCTTTGAGGTTTGAGCAAGCACGTGACTGAAAGAAGAGCTTGCAGTCTAAAAGCCCAAGTCAGTGGAGCCTGCTAGGAAACACGTCCAGAAAATGCATTAGGTTCGATCTCATTCCTTACCTTCGTGGTTATAATTGTTATTTTCCAATGGTTTGAACCCCGCAATCCACCCACCCTCACATCTGAGAAGCCATTGATGGTGGCAAGCAGGAGCTGCGGGGGAATCAAGTCCCTACGCAAATCCACTTTGTAGGTGGCCTCCACACCCTCGCACAAATTGCCCACCTTGGAGGACAGTTTAGCAAATCCATCGAATCGTCGATGCTTAGCGGCTCTTCGAAGGTAAACGTTAGATTCATCTAGAATCTAGATTGAGAAGACATGTCCTAACGTTTGGTTGTGGGAAGGCATGACTATTGATCACCCAAACAAGCAATAGCAAAGGCGGGCAAGGAACTGAATCCTCGATGAAGCCTGGTTGCACTGTCAATCTGTATTCAACTCCTGGTGCAAGAACAGCCGGACGAAAATTGGTCCTAACATGAGACCTTTCTGGCCTGTCCTGCATGTTTTGACCGAGTTCTACTCATTCGATATTTACCTCTAGGTGCAGCTTAACAAGCCTGATGGCTCTAGCACATCCAAATGTCACGTGGGTGCCGATGCCCTGAACACAGCAAAGTTATTCGATCCGCAAGGCCCATGGGCGCCAAAGCACGACAAAGTCACAAAAATGAAGCAGCAATCCATTAGAGGAACAAGGACGCTACTAGGGGCTCCTGGCCTTACTACTAGGAGCAAGGACGCTCTACTAGGAGCAAGAAGCTACTAGTAACAAGGACGCTATTGAATGGGTGCAGCTCTGGCTAGATTTGTTTGTTCTGGCCGCTCAAAGCGTCCGTTCCCGGGCACTAAAATTTCTGCAAGATCCATTTGGCTCGGTCTGTCCTGTTGGCCCGTCTTATCATAATTGGTTCGTCTGTTCGATCCTTTTTCCAAGCACGTCTATAAAAGTGGAGCCAATGTTCTCTAGGTTGCCCTTCCTTTGCCTATAGGATAACCTTCCGCTGACTGGGGAACATATGTGACCTGTTGTAGCGGATCCAAATCTGGAGATAAGCATGTGCCCAAACAGTGCAAAACGTCTATATATTTAGAAGAAGATCCAAAAACAGTTTCACATCTCGACCAGCTTGTCCAGAGAAGCCACTCTTAGCGCACATATGCAATTATATTTCTCATTTCACGAATGTTGCTTCCAATCCTGGTATTGATCTTATCCTTCAAGGTTGGAACGCAAAACGTTGCTACTCCAAGTATAGCCTGGGTCAAGTGCACAATTTCCAGTCTATAGATCAGTTTGGATTGAACTACAGCGTGGTAGACACGTAGTTTCCAACCCACAGTGCAGTTTGCAGTTTTCCAAAATGGTTTCAGTTGGCCACATTAGCAAAGTCTGTCAGTAGAATCATATGACCGATTTCCTGCCGTATATTGAGGGATTATGTCTAAGGTAGGTTATCTCGGAATATCTATTCAGCCTAGTCCCATCAGCAAATCTAACTATATACATGTTCCCATTCACAACAATACATGAGCATGTTTCCCTGTCTAAACGCTTTCTGCTGTCCAGAGCACTCTACTATTTGCAGCATTTGTGCTAGTTGACTCATCGCTAAAACAACATATGGCTATGATTTATTGTGTTATTCCCGACCGTTGCTGCTTTGTCGACTAT